GATCCAAATTTCATAGTCGCCGATCATTCTTCACTGAATTGGGAGCATTTGCTGAGAAACTTTCAGCTTTTATAAAATAACGAAGGTCTGGCAGTCATGGGCTCTTGCTCTATTAGCAAAACTAAGTCAGCTGTTATACACTTTAGAAGTATTTTTGTGCCTTATCAATACAGTCTTTTGAAATATCAAAGAAACTATATCTATACTATAAAAAATGTTAATCAAATAATTTAGCATTAAAGACAGCAGACAAAACTAATATGATTTTTAAAGTGTCGAGGACTAAAAAATGTACAGTAATAGCAAATGCAGTACATATATGTTTCATTGCATCTCTGATTCTACTCTACAAAAATATCAACAAACGACTTAATATACAAACCAGTTCTTTTAATCAGTTCCATCGTCCATTGCCTTTAAATTTTCACACTTACCATTAAGTAAACATAGTAACAGATATTTCATTGATTTTAGAAACAAAAGAACACTGTGTACTGCTTAGTTTTATGATATTCTCCTTGGTTTAATTTAATCAGTGGTGTGGCAAAACACAAATAATAAATTTATCAAATAAAGTAAATGTGAACTGAAAGCTATGTTATGATAAAATGAGAGCATTTTGTATTACCATTTGATAATTAAATATAGTTACACATATACAACAGATTTTAGAACACAAAAATCAATGACGTGCAATTTAGTTATTGATGATATTCTTTAGTTTAATTTAAGCATAGGTTTAGCAAAACACAATAACTAAATTTACCTAAATATACGTATAAAAAACAATGTGATGTGCAGGTTATGTTTAGTTAATCTATCTAACTCATGTTAAGCAGTTCGAATTTATTTAAAGTAGCCTCCAAATTCATAAAAACATCTATACATTGTCATTTTTATACTGTTTCCATGAAAACATATCAATAACATTATTTTCATAACTGAGACGCTTTAAAAAATCCAAAGCAGAGCCGGAGTTTTTACAGCAACGGTTATAGAATCTTTTTTTTCTATAATCATTGACGGTTTTGGAATAAATAATCCATGATAAAACGCTAGATTAAAATAAACCTACCTCATAGTTATGGAAAATATTATATTTAACTTCTTTGTCTTTGTATCAGCTGTCTGAAATTGTGAAATATACAATTCAGCAGTTCTTCTTGTTTACATTGAAATGTCAAAGCAAATGTAAACATACATTATTAGTGTTCTAATCGCAACCAATCAATATTTACTTTTAAAATGTTCACCTCAGAACTTTTAAAGCCAAAGGGGCAAAGCCTATGGTCAGTATCGAAATGTGAATAGTCTTATAATGGTCCTTGGTATGTTAGCTATATTTTTTTCTAGTTGGTTCAGTAGTTTTTGCACCTATTAGTAACACACATACAGACAGACACCATTAGATTTTTATATATTAGTATAGATATATATATATATATATATATATGAATTTGAACGAATGGTGTTTTTGGACTCTAGGGACCTCAAAACGAAAAATGAAATCGGTCCCGGGTCCAGGTCTTACCATGAGTACTACGGTAATAGCTTATTCCCTATATGGGAAATTCGCTAAAAGTGTATTTTTTAGTAAAATATTAATAGCTTAGTATAAAATAAATAAATTTGCCAAGTTTGATTAAAATACATCCATAAACAAGCAAACTACAACATTTTACAATATTCTTCACAAAAATTACATGGGAATTAAAAAATTACAATTTTTTTTTTTAATTTTCTCCATTACCAAGAACCGTACAAAAACCTTTTTGATATACTAAACTATTTGTTTTTAAGCTCTTAAAAAAGGTCTAGAGAAATTGGAAAATTTTGTGTTTTGAGGGTCAAAAATGAGAAAAACTATTTTTTAACCCTACGAGTGTTATGTGTCGTAAAAGCGACTCATAACACATCCGCTGTAGTGTTATGTGTCGCTTTTGCGACTCACAAACACTGTTTACGGCGACGGCTCTGGGACTGACTGAATCGGATTGAACTGGATCGAGTTAGATATTGTTTTTTTCAGCAGATTCAGAGCTTTCTCCTGATGTCTGTTTCCATACGCTTTTCATTTTAGTTCCGAAAATATTGTAGCAGACAGCTGACGTGCGTATTTGTAAACAGCTTGGTTAACCTCGTACGGATGACTGATGTGTTTTATTACGTTTATCATTGTTTTAGTGTTAAAAATCAAAAGTAGTGATATACAAGGTGCATTACAAGAAGATTTAAGTGATTTTGAAGGGCTGGTTGATGATCCTGAAGAAGTAGGTAGTGATATTGATGTAAATTATCAGCCAGATTCCTAGCTATGGTTAGGCTATGCATTCTTAGCTAAACGCTATGTACTGAAATCTGTTTTTTGCCCATAACTTATTTATTTGCAAACCTACTTCCTTATATTATTATATTTTTGGAATCCTCATAAAATTCTGAACAAAGTGGCTATTTTAAAATATTTGTAGACCTAAAAATTATAACAATTTATTGAGCGCAAACATAAATTTTATTCATTTATTTTATAATTTTTGAGAAATGTTAACCCCACAAAAAATTTTGAACATTTTTTTTGTAATGTTTTATGTGTTACATTGAAGCCCATAATTGTCCAAACAAAATGATATATAAAACAGTATACTTTACATTGTTTTTAAGTTTCTAAGATACATTTTAATAAAACCCTGCGATTGCGCAATAAATGGGCGAACATTAAGACCAAAACTACTTAGAGACACTTGGAAGGTTAACCCATAAAACCCTCCGTAAAACCCCATTCCTATGGTCCAATCATGCTGGTTTGTGAACTCATTCAAGTTTTCCACCTTTATCCTTACATTATCCTTACACCTTTAAATAAAATTTCATCAAAATCGGACAAAAATTACTCAAGTTATTACGTTTACGGACGTATATATATATAATATATACAGGGTATTTCCAAATTGTCTGAACATATTTTGTGGGCTTGTTCCTTAGGCTAAGACAAACATAAAATCCCATATAAGTATGGGTCTAAACAGCCTAGATTTCTGTTTGTCGGTCTGTTTGTGATTTTTAAGCATTATTTTATATCTTATCACATTTGTATACACATTTATACCAAAATTGGTATTTAAATTTAATTGGTATATAAATTGGTATAAATGTGTAAATGTAGGTAAAAGGAGCTTACAAAGATTTTTAGTGGAAATAACCTCATTTAAATAGGAGAAATACCTTAAATAAAAGTTAAGAGGTTTCCACTAAATATTATTGTTTAATTTATCATACTTTTAAAAGTAATTAACAACTAGTGTACCTGTTGCTCGAATTCGAGCAATTGCGAAGCATTACAGGCGACTCAAAGATTATGGAAATACTCACGATCTACACAACAGTTAGATATAATCGAAATCTTTTGTAAATATCTTATCTTTTTTCAAAAAGTTGATCTTGTTTTTTTAGTGTAAAAAAAACATTATTTCTATTTCTTTTACTTAGTTGTGTTCTATGACTTTTTCTATGTTTCCATTGTTTGCAAATCGGTTATGATTGCTCAAGAAATGTAGCCACAGTGTTAATTCAGTTTTATTTTTAGCCTATATCAAATTGTCCAAGATTTCTCGTTCTTTTCCATTGTATTAATTACACCAACCCAAGTTTCGTCTACAGATGCAATATGCCAAAGAAGATCACCTACGTACAATCTCCAAGAAGTGTTAAAAAAGGCAGAAAACCAACCCATACAATAGATATAAGTTAACTCCATAAGAAATAATTTTAAAAGTTACTGTGATTTTAGGATTTTTCACTGATTTGGTAATAGAACATTATATTGCAAAACATGGCACGATGCAGAAGAAAATCAATTTTAAAATCAGAAAAATCCATTGCAAATACTGATGTACTTCATTTTGACAAATTCAATAAATCACAATTTAAATATTAACAGCTGTTGCATTAAAAAGTAGTGTAGAATTATGCATATGGTCGTAATGTAAACAAATCTGAAAGGGCAACTTTAAAGGCTTCTGGGGCAGAGCCCCAAGGGAATTCACCATGTTTCTCTTTTGATGGCTCATCTACAGACCAAGACCTTTCTTTAGACACCTCTACCGAGTTTCTACGCCCAGCCGTTCTCTCAAAATAGCTGTGACAAAGAAAAACAGTTTCAAATTAATATATAGATTAATTGTTTATAGCAAATAAAAATCAACCACTGTTGTTGGAAAAGCCTAAAAGAATGTCTCTTTGTTTATTCTTCATTGATTTCCATTATGTGTTCTTGATGTCTTCAAATCGGGGTCACCAATTTTAGTGAAAAAAACCTCATTTAAATAGGAGAAATACTTAAATAAAAGTTTAGAGGTTTCCACTAAATATTATTGTTTAATTTATCATACTTTTAAAAGTAATTAACAATTAATTGTTTAGAGCAAATAAAAATGAACCACTGTTGTTGGAAAAGCCTAAAAGAATGTCCCTTTGTTTATTTTTCTCTTCTTAGCAACCAAAATTCAATAAAACTATTTAAAACATCTGTCAGCTGATAGATCTGTCAGCTCAATACAGTTTTGTTCCAATATCTCAAGCCGTTCCAACCTAATCTTTCACAAGATGTTTGACAAGGTTTGTAAGCTATATCTTGTTTTTCTCACAATAGATGTGTTTCACCCTCGTTCGTCACCAGTTATGTTCTGATCCTATAAAGAATCGCCATTTTGATGTTGGGCATCCATTAATGTCAAAGCCGCCACCATTCGCTGACCTTCACAGTTGTCTGCAAGCATTCTACGCACCCACCATGATAGTTTAGTTTATGTGTTAGAGTTTATGGAACCTGTGAGAAACAGAGCGAAAGCTCCATTATTGTGAAATGGAAGTTTTCACACATCTTATCATCAACTTGATCAACCACTTCATTAGTCACAATGCTCGGAAGTAAATTCTTCTCTTCATTATGAACATTAGTTCGGCCATTTTTAAACTTATTGATGAGTATATTGTTTTTGTGACAGGCCGAACACGTCAACATCACAAGTGTGCAGTCTGCTGCTCTGCCTACCTGCGCTGAGACAAGCCGACCTAGCGGTGAGACGGTTCTGGACCAACATACACCGCGAGGGAAAGGTCATCATGAACAAACTGTTTGTGGAGATGCTGGAGGCTTACCTACGCTTGTAGCAGTTGACCACTCTCTCAAGGGATTATGGGACAAGTGCAGGCTTTAATGTAACTTACTAGTATCTACATATTCGAGAAGATTTTAATTTGAACAATTTATTGTACGGTAACTGAAGTATTATTTATTTTATTTTATACTTTTTAATTCCAAATATTTTCAAAGATACATGTCGTATACATACAGTATGCGTGTTTTTACTAAAATTCGCTAAGTCCCATTATTCCTTGAAATGTAGAATTCTGTATTATAAATTATGAAAGATATTTTTGTTACCTAGTTAGTGTGTTATGTATTTATGTATTATATGGTACATATGTATTTATGATTGGGTGACGTAGTGGACTGATTGTATAGTATATTTATATTGTAGTTGTTTTTATCAACTGATTTAGTAGAGTTGAATAAAAACTATAAAGAGTATTCAACAATTTTTTAACTCCCCAACATGTTCCCCACTACATAAGTAAGTGTGAATGTATTTTGTTAGTTACAAGTATAAAACACTACAAACGCATGAAACCTTCAGTTTCAACATATTTGACAAAACAATCAATGTAATTAATTGATGTTTAAGTTCATCAAGGTTCCCTATAATGGTGCAGTAATATTAGCTGGTTTACCTAATTAGTTTCTCCCTAGTAAAACTTACGTAAAAAATGTCGGTGGTACAATAAAACCAATGATGCTGTATTCAGAAAATTTTTGTTGTAAATACAATTTTTCCCAATGCTATAGAGAGGCAAATGGCACAAATAACTATTGTGTAACTAGTAGGCGAAGTGGCACTTTGCTGCACATGAGAGAAGTTTACGCACAAGCCGTAGGTGAGTGTGGAAAGTTTCTCGAGTGCAGCAAGGATAGTTTGCACTCGTGTTACACATTATGTTTTTCCTACAGTTACTATAAAGCGTATAAATAATTATTTTTTCAGACACTGTACAACACGTTTTTAGGTTAGGTTAAATCCAAACATTGAACGAAATGGGAAACTGTGCACCAGCTGATCGTAGTTGTAATATCTTTAAGGGCACGCTCCCCCTAACGGCAAGTTCGAATGCGACGCCAGCGCGCTCCACAGCGGCGGTATCGGTTTGAACTAGAAAGCTGAGTCAGAACTAAAGTAGTTCCCTCCGCGCGGGCGAGTGGCGGGAACCCACTGAGAACTGACTGAGTGAAAACGTGACGGCGACAGGCCGACAGTGGTCGCCTTGGTCCGTGTTGTGTATGCCTTCTGCATCACTGATTCTCGATTCTCAATTCTCCTATAGCTTTATTATTTTACCAAATTTGACTCGTCAATTCCAACACAGTAGTAAAGGAATGGCGCAAATAATCTTGACTACAGGGCTGTGTTTACTTATATTATAACAAATACCAGACTATGAAATATGGTCATAATATTTTTTAACAGCTTTAGTGCGATGAAAAGTCCTATTTCGTGACTAGTAGTGAAATATACCATTACTAGATCCACTTACAATCAATTTAATTTGAAACTGTGACATGCCAGTACTCAATAGGCGTGTAGAATGTCCAAGGACCTATATTATACGATTATTTTTGGCAATTTCTATAAGGTGCAAGTGTTATTTATTAAACTTACAGTATAAACAAATTAAATAAACAAACTACTCAGGAATTTCGTAACATACTGTACACGATTTTGTTATAAGTGTGTGGGAAAATCATTTGTTAGGCTCAATCTATAATTGAAATTGTTATTTTAATATAAAAAATTGTTTATACATATAAAAACATGTACACATATTTTACAAAGGGAACCTGATGGAAAGTTACGTTACCAGGAGTATGCATTTTTTTCTTTTAGCTACGGTAAGGAATAATGCAAACACTAATTACGATTATAAAAACATTACTAATAATCAAAGACATAAATTTAATTTGCATAGTCTTTATTATCTAGGTGTAAGAAAAAAAAATTTCAATAAAATTTCATATTTAACAATTAAAGAACCATGTATATTGTACTGTAACTTCATTTCAAGTAAATTTGATATTTCCATAATTCCAGGAGGATATAACTGTCAGAATAAAACAGTACAACACATAGACTATTAATTATACATTACCCACCAAACTGATCATTAAGCATTACAAAATATCTATATAACATAAAAAAACTGTAAAGGGACATCTTAAAATTTCCATTTTTTACTGTAAATCCTACAACGTTGCATTGAAAATTACAATAAATTTAATAAACGACATTTGATTTGAAATAAATTGACAATGATTTCATGAACAATGATTATTTACTTACTTACATGTCTTTCTAACAAAGGACCTAAATTGCATTTTTATTCTCTACTTTGACACATTTTAAGTTTCTTTGCTTTTTTGGAGCATTTTTCCCTCTTTGCCTCTAATATGTAAAGAGGTTCCCTGATCGTCATATTTCGTCGTCTTCTTGGGTCGATGATCTCTGGGAGCAAACAATTGAAGTAAAACCTTTCTAATTTTGAAACCATGTTTGTTTCCCAGAAATTCTGGTCTCTCACAACTTTCTCAACTCTGACTCCTAGAGGTGTCCAGAGCACCAGGAAACCGAACTGCCGTTGCGTTATCTGTAATTGTCCTTGGATTTGGTAATGATAAGGATGTCGCTTGTTAACTGAGTACAGGTCTTTTGTTTTGTCGTATTGCCAAAAAGAACCTACCACGCCTTTTTTCTTCTCAACTACTTCATCAGGAGTCATATTTTTCCCAGTTAGAGGACATTTGACTTCTATTAGGGCATCTTCACCGACCAGTCCATCAGGCGATGCAGCGAGCCACGGTCTTTGCCTGTCTATGAAGAGTCATTTGGATACCGCACATCCTGTCAATGTTTCAAAACACTTTACTGCATCCGCTTCATGCGCCTGGCCGTACCTATTAGCTGCACAATCGACTTTAGAGTAGAGTAGCTTTTTTACAACTGGACCGAAACTGGAATCTTCCCTCCTATTACAAACTAGTCCAAAATTGGAAGCAGTGAGCCTCAGTCGTCTTTGTTCCAACCACAATGTGTTGTCTTTCTGATTCAATGTTAATCGTTCCAATTCTACTATCTCATTTTCAGTTTTCCTCAAATTTTCTAGATGCTCTTTAACTTTGGTTTCATAGAAAGCTTCATCAATGTCAGGTTTCTGTGCAAGAGGTCCGTAGTCTTTGTCTGGTCCTGCCGCTGCCAATACAAGTGATCGCCTGGCTTTTGGTTTTTTCCTACTCCTTTCCAAATCTTTCTCAGCTTTACGTTTGGCTCTGGCTTCATACAGTTTCGCGTAACCTCCCGGGCTTGATTTGGCTATTGACTTGTGAAGCTTGTAGAAAGGCTGTCAACTGTTGTATTTTACCACTGCTGTGGCACATCTGGTTAGATATCCATTGCGTTGAATTTGATTTGTTCTTTTGCCTCCTGTGTACATTGCTATGACAGAGTTGTACTGTTCGACACTGTTGCTATCAACGTCTTGGATAAGGTGGTAACTATAGTCGGCTAAAGCATTTACAGCAATCATGATTTTTTGATACAAACCACATTTCTGCATGTCTTCAACTAGGTTCCTCTCTCCCTCTTTGGGAATGCCATCACAAAAATAACCTATTTCTCCGCACTTCTTATGTTCACCAAAGACGTGACTTGGAGAATTTATAATATCTTTTCTTAATTTGTCAGCCTTTGTTTTTAAGGACCCCTCTTCATTCTTCCTATGCTCTATCGCCTTCTTAACTCCCACACGACACCTTAATAACCGATTACCAAAAGCACGTCTCATCTTCATATATAGTTCTTTGTTTGTATCGTCTCCGTTGTAGCTTGATGTTGCAATATCTTTGAGCTTGTTATTGAAATTCCGAAACAAATGGTTCCGACACTCAACCTTTTCTACTGTTAGCGTTTCATAAGGCCTGTACTCAAGAATTTTGGCATACACACTACTATCTCCGTCTGCTATGAATTTGCTATACTTAACACCATGCATTTCCTCGCTCATCAAAAATCCTTCTACGATTGCCATTGCTTCCATACTAGATGAACTTCCTGTCCAATTTTTAAAGCACGTGTGCTTTGGCACGGCGAAGTTCTCAAGTTGACCTGCTTTGTTAGCAGCGCGGGCACAAACGGCGCAGTACTTATTCTTGACTCCAAAGTACAAGACCTTTCTGGTGTGGTAACCAACAATGGCAACCTGGAATGGAATACCGTGATCAGAATATAATATTTAGGTCCCCAAACTATAGCAACATAACATTTTACCTGAAAACAGACAATTAGGGAAAATATTAATTTGAAAAAACTATCCGTGCCACATTATTTACAACCATAACCACCAAAAACATTGTACTGTTTATGCCAACTTCCAAAATCTGATCACTTTTTGGGGAGACAGACGTTTTTATAGTTGTACGTTGAATTGTGTTTGTATATTATAATAGGCTATAGCAAAATGTTATAAATATTTTGGCAAAACTACTATATTTATGGATATATAAAAAACACATTTTATTATGATACAGCAATGGCTATTTACATTTGCCTTTGACCCTGGAGCGATGCCTATAAATATCGGTAAGTAGTTCTGATAAACCATTTATAGGCCTAAATAATGTAATTGAGCGGTTTCATTTTAATGCAATTCTTTGTACGCAAACTCCTCCTACACAGTTAGCGATTAGTTACATATTCAGCATTGTATTGATGAGTATTCCGGTGATGGCCAATATTTTGGCGACTTTCCCTATAGGGAAGTAGCTATAGCCCAGGCGCATATTGAGCTGAGCGCCCGGCACGGTTCGGGCAGTGCAGCACAGCACAGGGCAGAATTAGGCAAAATGTCTGTGTTGCACAGTTGACATCACATATTGGGAAACAGTGTTGTACAGCTCTCGTAATAGGAGTGTTACAGTTTCTTGATATTAGGATTTGAGTTCTGATTCAGATTCAGGTGCTGATCAAGATTTATTGTTACTTCTTCACAAGAGAACAAGAAAGAAAGGGCGAAAAAATTTGCAATGTTTAGTGATTTTTGTATTTTCTTCCAGATTTTTTTCTTGTAATTACTCTTTATATACTAACTATGACTGGTAACGTAAAAACTGGATAAAAACGCACAATTTCTATTAATTATCCTCTAGATCCGTCACAAAACACTATGCAACCCAGCGCAGGTGAGCAATGCGGCACAGACACTTGTGACTCGACCACAAGTGCGCGCAGTCCACGTGCTTTGCACTGCCCTGCCCTACGCTGCGCCATAATATGCGGATGCGCGTGTCCTAGCGAACACGTAGTTTACAAAACCCTGCCCTGCCCTGCCCTGCGCTGCGCTGCGCTGCTCCGACTGCGTCTCAACCGTGCCGGGTAATACATAAGCCCGGGACCGATTTACTTTTTCATTTTGCTGTCCTCAGAAGTG